AGGAGCAGAGAGATGACCCCTGAGGAGTGACCACATCAAAGCCCACGATGCACTGAGCACCGACTGGACATGGGCTTGTCCCCCTTGGCTCCTACAGCCTCTCCTGGCCCCACCTGCACAGATTCAGCACAGCAAACCTGCAGTTCTGGCTGGGCCTCAGGGCTCCTACTTAAATCCTGTCAAATTTTAAGAATCTTTTCAATGAACCCATCAAAAAAACCAATGCAGAACAAAAACAGTTTCACGTCTGGGTGTCTATTTTCAGTAGGGAAGTGGACATTATTCCTCAGGAAAACACAAAGTCCAGGCAGGGGTGAAGCCAGCCCCACCTCTGCTGGAGCAGGAAAGTCATCAGGGAGAGACACAGGTCAGTGTGGGGAGGGTCCTGGTGGGCAGGGCTGGGCCAGTCTCCCCACGTCCTCATGTTATGCTAATGTGATCCCAGACACATGAGGATGCCCTTTGCAGCAAGAAAAACAAGAGGATCTTTATTGAGGATCTTTATTGGTCACATCACTGTTTACACTGTAGAAGGACAGGGTGTCCCTCAGATGCTGTGACTGTAGCACACCCACCCCTGAGCCCATGGGCCTCCAGCAGAGTCCACTGTGCTCCCTCTCTCTGTGGTCACCCTTCCCACTGCCCCTCAGGTAGCCGCTGCTCTACATGCAGACTTTAAGGGTCAGTGTGCGTGAGCACATGTTTTTAATAGTCATAATCACCTTTTATTGGTTTCACATAAATAGCTAATAGTTTGCAAAGCATGTTTTTCCAACATATTGATGTTAAAACATATGAATCTATGTATTAGATTTTTGGCAGAGGATGTGGGAAAAGTGAGGGGAAGATGATAATGTCAAAACTAATCTTCAGTGACAGAGCTGAATACTTGGCCATCGTTTCTCTTCATAGAGAGTTATGGATTTATAACCTTGAAACATATCAAAACTGCAGTGCCTCAGTTTACTTTAAAAAACAACAGTGAGGACTGTCCCTGGTAGTGCAAGGAGTTAAGATGCAGCACTATGAAGCTAACTGCTGCCACTGCAGCATGAGTTCAATCCCCAGCCAGGGAGGTGACCCACATGGTACCGCAGACCTCTCCTGTCTCGCATGTTGCTCCCCTCAGTAGCGTATTTCAGTCAGTCTGCCTGTTCTGTTTCCCACTCTGTCTCTGGTGAATCCTCTCAACCCCACCACACCCCAGCTCTTCTATGCTTAAATCTTTTAGATTTATTTACTTATGCATACAGGAGCTGGGGTACAGGCCAGAGATGTGAGGGATGGGGGGTGAGAGGATTCACCAGAGACAGAGTGGGGAACAGAATAGGTGGATTGACTGAAATACACTGCTGAGGGGAGCAGTGGGTGAGACAGGAGAGGTCTGCTTCACCATGTGGGTTGCTCCCTGGCTGGCCAGGGATTGAAATTGTACTGCCGAGGCTGCAGATTGCTTCCTAGTACGGTGCTTAATCCCTTGCACCAAATAAATAAATCTTAAAAAAAAAATAGTGAAATATATTACTTGGACATCACATTTCCCTTTCTAAATGTATTTACATTCACATAATTTTGCACTTATTACATAATGTTTTTTTAAAATAAACATCAAAATGTTAAACTAAATAATCCCACATCTGATAAATCATGGTAGTATCAATATTTTTTATTCCAGTTTATTTATTTATTCATCAGTAAAATGTAACATTTGACAATGTCCCCAGAGAATAGGGGGACATATGAAATATGAAAAGGTCATTTGCATAGTCACTACAGATTCTGTCAGACCTGCTGTCACATTGGGGCTCCCCCTTGAACAAAGTACTACAGGTGGTCATTGCCGGGCCATCAGGGAAGACGGAGCTCACTCCTGACACCAGGCACTACCTGTCACTGTATTCCTGCTCCTTGTCATGGCGCTGGGCCTTGGTGCGATTAGCACAATGAGGTTGTTTTGTTTTGTTTTAATTTATGTATTTATTCATACAAACACTGGGTACAGTCAGAAGCGCGGGAGGGTGAGAGAATCCACCAGAGCCAGAGCGGGGAGCAGAGCAGGCAGAAGGACCGAAGTACACTGCTGAAGGGAGCAGCGGGCGGCAGGAGAGGTCTGCGCGCCATGAGGGAACCTCCTCCGGTGGCCGGGGAGCAGCTGGGGATCGAACCGGCGCCGCAGAGGCCGCGGGCAGCTTCGCAACCCAGCGCTCAACCGCTGCGCCACCAGGGGAGCTCTCCACCTTTTTAAAAATTATTGTTGAGACTATGTAAGTGTAGCGCAAACAACCCACACTGGGTAGGTCCATTACCGGTTCTAGCAGATGTGTTGGTGTCTTGATGCTCTCCGCTGTTCGCGGCCGCACTCCGTCGCACTCTGCCGGTCTCCGCCGCTCACCTCTGGCCCCAGCTCCGTATCACACTGCGCTGTGCCACGCCACGCACGCCACAAGGCGCCACGCAGGTTGGCCAAGTGCGCATGCGCAGTGGGAGTGCAGAAAAGCCTGACGCTCCCCTCCCCCCCCCTTACCCAACAATAATTTACAGGTTCACTGACTGGAAAGACACAGTCACTTCTTAGGTCACCGCTGGTGTTTACACAGGAGGTTGGTTTCTCTTGGTCTCTCAGCATGACCCATCCCTCAGCAGGGCCCTCGATGCGGAGTTTCAAATACTACCATTGCTATGTCTCCTGGCTGGATGTAGATTATTTTCCCTCATTAAAAATATTTAATAATTGGGCAATAATCTTTGTAACCTCTGCACTCAATTTCTTATTTCTTACAACTTCCTCCTGGCTGCTGTGCTTTTTTTCTGTCACCTTCTTCCCTTCAAAGGAGGAAGGGTTTTGAATGGGCCTCCAATTCTACCCCACAATGTAAAATATTGTCCACAGTTGTAGTTAGAGAAGAGGTGATTGTCTGTATGATGAGCTGAGTCATTAATAAATAGCCTTAAGATTTGAGGAGACAGGACCTCCCCAGTGGCGCAGTGGGTTGAGCGCAGCGCTATGAAGCTGTCTGCAGCCTCTGCAGCATGAGTTCGAGTCCTGGCCAGGCAGGGAGATACCCACATGGCGCAGCGGACCTCTCCTGTCTCGCCCGCTGCTCCCCTCAGCAGTGTTTTCAGTCAATCTGCCTGTTCTGCTCCCCACTCTCTCTCTGGTGAATCCTCTCACCCTCCCGCACCTGTGGCCTGTACCCCAGCTCTTTTATAAATAAAATAACTCTTTAAAAAAATATATTAAAAAAAAAGATTTGAGGAGACAGAAATCATTGTCACAAATGGAAATTGTGCAGACATTGACAGAGATGTACAACCTAAATAAACCAGCTGATTAATGGAAAGATTAAAGGTAGAGATGATAAGGTAGACTCTGAAGAAAGCCATCCACAGGGGGAAAGCCATCCACATGACTTGCAGGTGAAGAAGGGATCTTCCAGAGATGAGGTTCATGGATTCGCTTATCTATAAGTCTATGGTGAACGTCTCTGTGAAGCCAGTAGATCAGCATGTTGATGAGAACAGGTAAAATGAGTTGAATCCAGTTGTTTGGAAACTCTCCTATGTTGTCATGTAATTTGCTGTATCCTCTCAGCTCCACAGAAACAGTGAGATGGTGGGAATATTTACTCCATGGTAATGACCTAACAGTTAACATGATTCTCAGTAGACTTGATTCTATAAATATTGTGGGTGGTTCATTAGGGAATGACTATAGACAAAGTAATAGCACATTGTCGCAAAGGGGAAATAAAGGATAAAAGCACCAAGATTTATAACCAGGAGAATGACAGTTTGTTGGGAGATGTCATACTCTTACTCTAGCCCAGTGGTTGGATATGGAAATGGTATAAAAAAAATAATTATCTACAGCATCTAGTACAAGATCCATCTTAGCTCTAGCAAATAGGGGAGACTGGAGGATCCAGGGATAGTGTAGGTGCAACAAGACACAATGGGGGACTCAGTCAGCAGGAGTCAGGCTTTTTCATCAAATGAGTCTGATGCCAAACTAGAGTCAGTCCACCATGCAGTGCTGCCGGGCAAGGAAACCTGGGCTGGTCTGCAGCCCTGGTCAGCAATAGGCACAGCCTGGGGGGTTCAAGGGTTAGTTTTTAAGTTTTCCTTAATATAGCCCTTTGTTAGACTTTCTATATCCATATATGGGTGACATATTTGTCTTTCTCCTTTGGACTTATTTCCGTTAGCTCCATCCATGTTGCCCCAGATGGCATGAGTTTATGTTTTTCTGATAAGTAGTATTCTATTATGTATATACCACTTCTTGAATTATGATCTGTTTTTAGGCATTTTCGTTGTTTCCATAGCTTGGATATTGTAAATAGTGCTGCAGTGATCATAGATGTGCAAGTTGCCCTTCATAGTAGTGTATTTGTGTTCTATGAGTAGATACCTAGGAGTGGGACTACTGGGCCCTATGGCAGATACACTTTGAATTTTCTAAGAAATCTCAATAATGTCATATATATATTACATTATATATATATAATGTCATTTGTTTGGTACAATGTCATTATATATATATATATATAATATATATATATATATAATGTCATTTTTTTTTGTACAATGTATGCTTGTATGCTTTCTCCTTTCAGGTGTATTCCTCATAAAATTCCCAGCACCAATTCACCCATGAACCATCACCATAGACCCTTGTGCTCTTTTCTCCTGTTTTGTTCCTTCTACCTCCCAGTCCCTTGCAAAATGTCTCTGATTTTTTTTTTTTTTAATGCAAACACTGGGTACAGACAGAAATGTGGGAGGGTGAGAAAATTCACCAAAGCCAGAGCAGGGAGCAGAGCAGGCAGGAGGACCGAAGTACACTGCTGAGGGGAGCAGCAGGCGGCAGGAGAGGTCTGCACACCATGTGGGACCCTCCTCCGGTGGCCGGGGAGCAGCCGGGGATCAAACCGATGCTGCAGAGGCTGCAAAGGCTGCGGGCAGCTTCGCAACCCAGCACTCAACCGCTGCGCCACCGGGAGGCCCAAAATGTCTCTGATTTATTGTTGCTTGCTAATTTTGGTTTTTTATTTATTATTACTGTTATTTATTTTCATGATCACTTATTTTATTCCCCTATATTCCTCCTGTAAGTGAAACCAATAGATATTTTTCTTCATCTCTCTGGTTTATTTCACTGAACATGATCCCTTCTAGCTCCATGCATGTTGAGAATGGCATGCGCTGATATTTTTTGAACGCTGAATAGTATTTTATTGTGTATATACCACATCTCTGGATACAGTCGTCTATTTTTGAGCATTTGGGTTGTTTATACAACTTGCCTATCGTAAATAGTGCTGCAATAAACATAGGGGGCAGGTATCCTTTTTAATTAATGCTTTGGTATCCTTTGGGTAGAGTCTGAGGAGTGAAATTGCTGAATCATATGGAAGCTCCATCTTTATCAGGTTGAGGAATCTCCACACAGCTCTCCATAGTGGTTGGACCAGTTTGCATTCCCACCAGCAGGTTAGGAGAGTTCCTTTTTCTCCACATGCTTGCCAAAATTTGTTGTTGCCTATTTTTTTAACATGTGCCATTCTCACTGGTAAAAGGTTGTATCTTATTGTGGTTTTGATTTGCATTTCCCTGATTTAAGTGATGTTGAACATTTTTTCATATACCTGTTGGCCATTTGCATTTCCTCTTTGGAGAAGTCTTTTTAGCTCTTCCTCCCATTTTTTGACTGGATTGTTTATTTTTGTTGAGTCCTGTGAGATCTTTGTACAATCTTTGTAATCAGTCCCTTACCAGTTGCATTATGTGCAAAAATTTTCTCCCAATCAGAAGAGTGTCTCTTGTTTTGGTTAATGTCTCTTTTGCTGTACAAAAGCTTTATAGTTTGATGTAGTCCCAGCTGTTTATCTTTTCCTTCACTTTCTTTGCTTTTGGGGTTGTGTCTTTAAAGATGTTATGGATGTTTATATCATGTAGTGTTTTGCTTATATTTTCTTCTATGTATTTTATGGTTTCAGGTCTTACGTTGAATTCTTATATCCATTTTCAGTTGGTTTTTGTGCATGGTGTGAGGTAGTAGTCTAGTTTCATTTTTTGTTTGTAGCAGTTCAGTTTTCCCAGCACCATTTATTGAACAAACTGTCCGTGTTCCATTGCATATACTTTGCTCCTTGATCAAGGACTAGTTGTCCATAAATATGTGGGTTTATTACTGGGTTTTCTATTCAATACCATTGGTCTGTGTGTTTTCGTTCTAGTATCATACTGTTTTAATTATTAAGGTTTTTGTGGTATAGTTTGAAGTCTGGGAGTGTGATGCCTCCATTCTTCTTTTTAGTCAAGAGAGCTTTGGCTATTTGCGGAAACCTTGATACTGTTTCCATCAAAACCCAACCAGTCTACATTACCAAAACAATGTAGAACTGTTTCCTGTTCCACAAGTCCCCACCAGTACTTGTTAATGTCTGGGCTTTCTGATATAGGCCATTCTCACAGACATGAAGTGGTTTTGTTACAGCAATTTCCCAGAGAAATCAGATGGCACTCAGAGAGGTGGAGAGAGAGAGATTTAATTGTCACACCAGCGGGCTCAGTGGGAATGCTTACCAAAGAGCTGAGCACCCAAAACAAGAATGGCAAAGTTTTATACAGTTTGTATGAGGAAACTTGCTATCCCACCCATCATAGTATAAGCATTCTTTATTGTTAGGGAAGGGGTTCAAGGTAGTCATGGCTACCACCACAGACAAGCAGTGCAGTACAACAGCAACGTCTTCGCTTAAGCAAGCAGCAGAATCAAAGCGGTAGACTCCCCCAAGCAGCAGACTTGGGTAACTTTGTTTCATTTGCCCCCTTTTGATGCCCCTACTGATGTGCTAGGAAGTTTCAAGGTCTGGACTCAGAGCAAGCAGCAGGAAAGGAGCCTAAGAGCTCATATTGTCTAACTAACATGTGGAGTTTAGTAGCCTCCAAACACAACTGGATAAACTGTGTGGCCAGATTAAAAGACAGCCCAAGGGTAAGCATCACAAGAATGGAAACCAGTGGACCCAGGACAGGCATGAGCAAGGCACAGTGTGATGTCCCACAAAAGAGAAACAAGAGAAGCAGCCACCACTGAGGTCCAACCCAGCGGCCCATAAGCATTCCCCATGATGCTCCTCGAGCTTCCGCCATGTGCAGGCCAACCAGCTTCAGGGCTGTGGTTGGAGCAGGGCTGCAGCAGGTCACGGTGTTTGGTCTGAGTCTCTCCGCAGGGTCAGTCTGAGCTGGTTTGCAGGATCCGGACAGGCCATCTGCCGTTTCAATGTCTCGTGCGAGCTTACGGATCTGGGGAGTCATGTTCCCTCAGAGTAACACCTGCAACTTTGACAGCAGTAGGGTGGTAAGGATGACAGTACAGGGCCCCACCCAGACAGGTTTGAGTGGCTCTTTTTCCAGTCCTTTATCCAGACTCAGTCCCCAGGTTTGTGGGGATGAACTTGGTATCCCAGAGGAACGGGGCCCTCTGGATGACAGTTTCATTAATCTTGTGTAGGACTTTACTATGGAGCTGCAGCTGCCGATTTAGTCCCCGTTCGCCAGTGTGTCTGAGGTCTCCCCTCACCACACACACACAGGGGAGTCCGGCCAAACAAAATCTGAAAGGGGGTGTAGCCACTGGCCCGGGGAGTGCACCGAATTCTGAGAAGCACTAAGGGGAGAAGGTCCACCCAGGGCTAACCTGTTTCCTGCCAAAACTTTCCCAGAGTCGTTTTAATGGCTTGGGTGACACGCTCTACTGTCCCTGAATTCTGTGGCCAATAGATGGGTAGATTCCATGTAATGTGAAGTAAGCAAGTCAGGTGATTGGTGATTTCAGCAGCAAAGGCTGGGCCAGTATCACTGCCAATAGTCACGGGGACCCCATATCTAGGAATTATTTCTCTTACAAGAGCTTTGGTGACTTCTTGGGCCTTCTCCGTTCTGGAGGGGACGCCTCTACCCACCCAGAGGAGATGCAGATCAGAACAAGCAAATATCTATAGCCTCTGCAAGCCTTGATTTTTGTGAAGTCCAACTACAGGTCCTTAAAAGGGGGGAAGTCCATGGGCTGTATACAAATCTGGCACCTGAAGAAGCAAACTGAAGGGACAAAAGTTTATCCATCTGGTAGGAGCCATCGCTCCTCTGGTATTTTCACCTTTTTTTTTAATTTGTTATTTTATTTATTTATATTTTTTATTATTTTTAAATTATTTATTTTTACATCATTGTTCATTTTTAAACAATATTTGCTTCCCCGCTCCCCCCAGGTGTAGTCCCCATAGAATTTCCTTCCCCAATGCACCCGTGCACCATCACCACAGTCTCCTGTGCTCCCACCTCCCTCCCTCTGATCCCTCTCCCTCCTCCTCCCCCGCAGGATGTCTCTGATTTATAATTGTCTGTTTTTGTTTTGTTGTGTTTTGTATTGCTATTTCTTTTACACTGATGTCTTATTTGGTTCCCCTTAATTCCTGTTATAAGTGAAACCATCCAGTATTTTTCTTTTTCCTTCTCACTTATTTTACTGAGCATAATTCCTTCTAGCTCCATCCATGTTGCTGCAAATGGCATGAGTTTATCTTTTTGATGGTTGAATAACATTAAGAATGGCACATATAAAAAAAATTAGCAACAACAAATGTTGGTGAGGATGTGGTGAAAAAGGAACTCTCCTATATTGCTGGTGGGAGTGCAAACTGGTCCAACCACTATGGAAAGCTGTCTGGAGATTCCTCAGTCTACTAAAAATGTAGCTACCATATGACCCAGCAATTCCACTCCTAGGGATCTACCCAAAGGACACAGAAACATTGATTCAAAAGAACACCTGTAACCCTATGTTTATTGCAGCACTATTTGCAATAGGTAAAACCTGGGAACAACCCAAATGCCCAAAAATAGATGACTGGATCAAGAAGATGTGGCATATATACACAATGGAATATTCTTTATTTTTGACGGAAGCCCTCTTCATCTCAACTTGGGTGTAGCTGCCACTGCAGGCCCAGAGCCTGAGCACTGGGGGCTCCAGGCCACAGTGGCAGCAGGTGATGTCTCAGCTGAGCCACCATGGGTGCCCAAGGCGGGCACTGTGGAGGAGCTGACGGACAAGGGGATGGCAGTACTGGGCAAGGAGGAGCGGGTATAGTGCCTGCAGCAGGAGGAGGCGCCACTCCTGGCCACTCTGGAGCAGCAAGGCCACCTCGTCTAAGTGAGTCGGCAGTTGCAGGGCCACCCAGGTGAGATCTGCAACTCACGCAATTTAACTGGCACCTGCAGGCTGAGAACCCCAGGCTGCGTGACCTCTGCTGCCTTTTTGTGTAGGCATCATACTGTGTGCTGGGGGCCGCTCTCAGGGACCCCAGCATTCCAGGCAGTAAGGATCTGGGCAGTTGCTGGCAGAAGCTGGCTGAGCAGGAGGGCTGCCAGGAAGAGGAGCTCTGCCTGGCATTGGGTGAAGAGTCGGGGGCCCACAGCAGTCCCTGTGGCGTGGGGTTGTGGGGGTGGCGACATCTAGCACCAGGCTGGCATCTGAGTTTGTCTTGCCCCTGTGCGGGCTCCAAGACCTGGACTAAGGACATAGTTTTCTTTGTATTGACACCGCCTGAATTGTTCCCCAAACACCAGGATTGTGGTAGGCCTGTGATGTGGAAGCCGCCCCAGTCCAGGGGCTGCTGGCTTTGGAGAGTCCTGTCCTGCTGGTCAGCTGCCAGCCTGGCTTTCAAGTCAGCCAGCCAGCTAATGAATAACCACCACTTTAACCAGACTCCAGACTCTCTCTAGCAGTTGACGGATTTCCTTTTTGATGTCCCTGGCAGTGAATGACCACTGCTTTGGCTGGACACCAGGCTGCTTCTAGCAACTGGAGGATTATCCAGTTTCAGCTCTTTCCCCCACTGCATCTAAAATGCCCCATGCATGTGGATGGTGGCAAACACATAGTGAGAATCTGTCACTGATAGATCTTTTGCCAGTTGAAAGGTGCAGGTGAAGGCCTAGAGTTTTGCAGTAAGGGCTAACTGAACAGAGAGTTGTTTTTTTTGTTTTTTTTTTTTTAAACCCGAGGAAGCCTTGTCAAGCTTAACTGAGTCTTTAGATGTGTCCGGGGCTCTCCCTTTGGAGGCAAAAAGAGGCTGACTCATGACTGTGATGCAGAGACAAAAGACATGGGGGAGGCAGGAGGACATGGGGGGCAGGTGGAGAGTACAGCATGGTATCTGGCCTGTCCTTGCTTTAGGACTAGCAGGAGTGGAGTGTTCCAGGAAGACTGACACTCCATCAGGATGCCTGCATCCTTAAGCCTGTTGATATGCTCCTGAATGCCAGTCCAGCCTTTGAGGGATCGGATACTGTTGCAGGCAAAGAGGGACTGTGCCAGGTTTGAGTGACTGAGCCCATTCTGTCCTATTCTGAGTCCAAGACCGCCAATCCAATGAGGGAGTTTTTATCCTTGAAAGGTTCCTATTGATATGCCTCCACGCCCCCCCCACCCACCCCCCCCACTTTTGGCGGTGCCACACGGCTCTCCTGAGCCTCTATTTCAGAACATTTATGTTTCCAGTGGCTCATCTGTTTGCAATTGGCACACTCGTCTGGCTTCAGGGGAACATGCTGTTGGCCCTGCTAAGAAGGGCCCTTCTTACGAGTCAGATTGGGCTTGTTCAGACAGCAGCTGAGAGAGAGACCATTCTTTCAAGGTGGTGATCCGCATCATGGCATTCTCACGGTCACAGCTGACAAAGACTTTATTGGCAACCTCCAGTAACTGAGGTTGCTGAATGACAGAAGCAGTCTTAGACATGTTGGTCGGCTGAAAGCTGCGGTGGCCATGTACAACGAGGACCTGACACTCTGCTGGCCTAAACTACAAGTATGGACCCCAGTGGGTCAGAGCTGAGTGACTGTCAACCATGAATCAATGTAAGGAAACTGGCAAGGGAGGCCTGTGGAGCCTCTCACAACTTTCCACACTGCCGGGACTGTGGGGATGTCAAGAGTTCCTTCTGGAGGCCATTTCACCTGGAAACGAGGCCATTCTACCTGACACAGGATCAAAAATTTCTTAGGGGTCAAGATAATCCCACCATAATCTTCATGGAACCCCTTCTTAAAATTTTTGATCATGCAGTCAAGGAAAGTGGGTTTCCTATGAGTCGCCCCGCCCACTGTGTTCAATGTCGCAACAAAAGGAGAGGGGAACACGCACGTTGTTGCCTGGCCGCACTTCTCTTGAAGTTTTAAGACACATCTTGGCTTCCGGTGAGCCCAAATAACCCCTGGGCCGGAGCCTTGAAAAGGTCACCTATAGGCCTTATGACGTCGTCACGGAACCACAGGACAAGACCACTCAGATCCCGGAACCGAAGTCGTGGGGCTGTTACATACACTTACATATGCACACAGAGGCTATGCAAGCCACCCACCAGACAACTCTACCTGGCCCACAAGGGGGCGAGAGGTGCTCAGGCGCTCCTTCCGACCCATGGGACAGGCTGAGCTAGAACCAGGGCCCAGGGGCCTTACCTTATCCAGAAGTCCTGATGGGTCTGTCTGTCTACTTCTCTCTGTGAGTCCAGGTAAGGTATGAAGGTGGTATCCCAGCTCTGCTCAAATCGGGGAGGAGAACCCGACAAAAAGTGGGTGACACCACCTCTTTTCACAAGGGAGAATCACTGAGCACAGCCCCAACACCAGACCAGTGGCCAAAGCGGCCAGCACAGCTGGTTTCCTGGTCAGGGAACAAAAACCTCACAGCAATTTCCTGAGAGAAATCAGAGGGCACTCAAAGAAGTAGAAAGTCAGAGATTTAATTGTCACACTGGCAGGCTCAGTGGGATCACTCCCCAAAGGACTCAGCACCCAGGAACTAGAATGGCAAGGTTTTATTCAGTTTGTATGAGGAAACTTGCTCTCCCATCCATCATCACATAAACATTCTTCATTGTTCAGGAATTGGTTCAAAGGAGTCATGGCTACCACCTAAGACAAGCAGTGCAGTACAGCCAGCAACGTCTTCGCTTCAGCAAGCAGCAGAATCAAAGCGATAGACTCCCCCAAGCAGCAGGCTTGGGAAAGCAACAGAAACTAAGTATCAGACTCCCCCAAGCAGAGGGCTTAGGTAATGTCCTGCTTCAGGTTATAATTGTGTTTTAAATCAGGGGATCGTGAATGGATCAAGGTGTGGTCCATATATACAGTGGAATAATACTCAGTGATCAAAAACATAAACTCATGCCATTTGGGAAATATGGATGGGGCAGGAAGGGATACTGAGCTTGATAAGTCAGAAGGAAAAAATAAATATCAGACGGTTTCCTTTATATGTGGGATATACAGAAATCAAACAAAGGGTCAGAATAAAGACAAACTTGCAGCCCGATCCTAGATCTGAGGCCTACAGCAGGGGGAAGGGAGAGAGATGGTTCCAAACGGGAGGGAAGAGCACAAGGGACTGTAGTGATGGATCATGGTGCTATGGTGGTAAGAGAACTACAAGGACTACACCTGAGAGAGAAATCAAATATTATATAAAAATTAACAATACTGTAAGAGAACAAATAAATAGATTTAATAAAAATTTTTATATCACTCACTGACAGCTAGAAAACAAATAAAATTAAATAAAGCAGAAGTTACAAAATGGGGGGGAGAGAAATTCTATAACATTCAGTCCCACACAAGGCAGAGCGCTCATTTTATGAAGGAAAATAATATTGAAGAAATTCAGATGAATTACATTAAGTGATAACATTCTCAATAGTCCACTGCATCCTAAGACTGTCCCACTCACAGCTCCCCACAGCCTGGCCCCATCCTCTGGTGTGTCCCAGGGGGTGAGAGACATCCCAGAGTCCTGGGTGCTGTTGCTGCCTGAGGAAGCACAGAAGAGACCTGGTCAGAGCCCAGAGATGAGACCCTCAGAGGAACTGATGAGGGTGACTCTCCCTAGAGTTCCCTCTACACCATCCTCAGGGGCTCAGGACCCAACCTCTGATCCACACTTACCTGTATCCTGAGTATAGCTGATTGCGGGTCCCTCTGTGGGAAGAAACATCATGTGAGACAAGGGAGGAGTCAGGTGACAAGTCCTAAAGGAATCCCCACTCTTGGTCAGAGGGAAGTTTCTAGAACTGTGACTGAAGACCCAGGTCAGGACTGAGATATATGAAGAATGGATATAAGAGGGAATTGGAGTCTTTCCTCAGCAAGGTCCTTCCCCTGTGACATTTACTGGGAAACAGATCCCCATCACCACAGTTATAAGGTGAACAGTTGGTGATTCATTTTAATAAGTGCTTTACAAAAGAGTGACTATTAGCAATCAGCTCCAGACTGGGCAACACATGTGTGTGGATCAGACTCCCTCCTAATCAGGAAGGGCAAGTTCTCCCTGGGACATGAAAGCCCCCAATGGACAAGACCCTCCACTCCCTTCCTTACCTGAGCGCTTCTTCCTCCACATCACAGCTGCAGCCACCACAGCTCCAGTGAGCACAGCTCCAAGGAGAACCAGGCCAGCAATGATGCCCGCGGAGGACTGAGGAGGGGGCACTGAAAGTGAAGGGAAGGTGAGACCCTGAGCCTCATCCTGACTCTCTGAAGGTCTCCAAAAGGGCTCCTGATTCCTCTGAGCAGAAGCTCAGTGCCCACATCCCCCTCCTTACCCCAAGTCAGGACTGTAGGCACCAACAGCCCCTCATGCTGCACATGGCACGTGTATCTCTGCTCCTCTCCGGAAGGCACCACCACAGCTGCCCACTTCTGGAAGGTTCCATTCCCCCCAGGCCTGGTCTCCACCAGCTCTGTGTCCTGGGTCAGGTTCTCCCCATCTCGCTGCCAGGTCAGGGTGATGTCCTCAGGGTAGAAGCCCAGGGCCCAGCACTTCAGGGTGACCTTATGCTCAGAGGTGGGGTGGGGGGTCACTTGTGTTTTGGGGGGATCTGAAGAGAATGGTCAAAAATTCACACTTTGGGTTTCCTCTATGGACACTGAAGCAGCCTCAGTGACCATCCTCAGAATGGACATGACAATTGGTTTGGAGGGAGGAAGCACAAAACCCAAAAACCAGCCTAGTCTGGGGAATCTGGGATAATCGGGTGAGAGCCCAGGGTAGGAGGACGCAGGTCTCTAAGGAGAACACAGACTTTTGCTCCTGAGCTGGCTGGAGGGTGAATGACACAGAAAGGCAGGAGTCAGATCCAGAAATGTTCTCAGACCAAAAACAAGACCTTGAAAGTGAAACTCATGGTTCCCAGGATGGCTGCCGGGTCACAAGGATCCAGGGAGAGTTATTTCAGGATGGCCTCCCTCCCTCAGGAGAGACTGGATTCCTTAACCGTCTAGAAAAGTGGTGTCTTCTGGGCGAGTCTCTCTCTAGCACAGACCGTGAAACCCAGGGGGACTCTCCCTCTCTGCCCAGAAAGCAGGTGCTGTTCTGCCCATTATTCCAGTTTCCCTGTGGGGCGCCAGGAGAGGGGAGGTCCGAGGCCTTGTGGCCCCTCTTACCTGTGCGCTGCAGCACCTCCTTCCCCAACTCCAGGAATCTGAGAAGCCACTGGAAGCACCTGCCCTGTATACTGTTCCTGACGCGCTCGGCCCTCCCCTGCGCCTCCCACTCGCGCTGGGTGATCTGAGCCACCGAGTCCGCGGGGGTCCAGGAGCGCAGGTCCTCGCTCAGGGAGATGAAATCCACGCCGTCGTAGGCGTACTGATCAAACCCGCCGAGGAGGTTCAGGTCTGGGCCCACTTCACAGCCAAACATCCTCTGGAGGGTGTGAGACTCTGACACCCACCCCTGTGGTCAGCCCGGAGGTCACCCCGCGGTCACCCCCACCCACCCTGAATAAACCTAAACTGAAAATGAAAGGGCCGGCAGGACAGTCCCTTCCCGGGGGAGGGGCCTGGCAGATCCACCAGCCTCAAGGAGTCAGTGGACCCTGAGACTCGGGACACCCCGGCCTTAGGGTGGGAATGGGGGGTGACCTGACCCTGGCCCCGCTCCGCAAAGCTCACCGTCCTCGCTCTGGCTGTAGCGGCCGCGCAGGTCCTTCAGGAGCGCTTGGAACCACTGAGCGCTGTTGCGTTGGATCCGCGTCTCCTCATCCCGCTCCTTCTGCCCCACCTGCCCCGCCCAGGTCGCCCGCGGCTCCACACTCTGGCCTGGAGAGCTGATGTTGAACCGCCCGAACTGCGTGTCGTCCACGTAACCCACGGCGATGTAGCAGGGCTCCCCGTTGCCATTGCCGTGGCCGTTGTCATTGCAGTTGCCATTGCCGGGCCAGGACATCGCGGTGTAGAAAAGCGTCAGGGAGTGGGAGGCTGGGGATGGGAGGGGAGACCCGGGCTGACCCTCCTCTCAGCACATGCCCAGGGCCCAGGGAGATGGGCCTGGAGGGGAGAAAGGGGCGGGGCCGGGAGAGTGAAAAGGGGGGTGGGCCAAGAAGGGCCCAGACTCTGTGGCCCAGAGCACTCAGGGGAGGCGGGAGGGACAGAAGGGGCCAGAACACAAAGGGCCTGAAGGGGAACAAGAGGTTGGGGGGAGATGAGCCTTTCCTGGGGTCCTGCACCCGCAGGGGGCTCCTTGCTCCTCCCTCCTGGAGCAACAGTGTCCAGCTGGACACGCACTCACCCGCCCGGGTCTCCAGCAGGGCCAGGGGCCCCCAGAGCAGCAGCAGGAGGGGGAGGGGCATCACACCCCATCCAGGGGTCTGGGGAGAAGGAGTCCAGGAGGGTCCTTGGAGACTGTGTAACTGGAGCAGGATGATGCTGATTGTCTTCCCTGGAAACCCCCAGGAAATGGGGAGAGAATGGGGGTGAGTGTGGGGTCATCAAGGCTGCACCACCCCACAGAGCCTGTGAGAGGGAGACATGATGCTGTAACAGTGTGACATCCACAGAAAGGGGAGGCTCCAAATTCCCTTCCCCACATTAGGGAGGAGTGGATTTGGGAGAAGCAGCAGCCTGGAGGAATGAAGAAACTAGTAGTATTTTCAGATAATTGTGAATATTGATAGTAAATTAAAACTGTACAGGTGGTAGTTTCTCCAAGGTTATTTGCTAAGTGGGTGAAACCTGAAATAATATCAAGGAATAATTGATTCTGTTACATTTCCATAGGCTTCTCTTGCATATTGGTTGGAACTTGTGCTAATGTATGATTTTTTTAAGGTGATACATTGTTTCACTAAATTACATAGATCTTTAGTGTTAATTACACTGGAATCAAATGATTAAAAAAAGTTTTATTTTTTAATCACAAATACCAAAAGAAAAATTTGTACCATAAATTGTCAAGTAGTGATGCAGTCATTTTTTTCATAATTCTGGTTTTCTCTGAGAGCTTATATTTTATCAGGCAAAATTACTGTCAGTTGCCAATTGTTGATTTTCTACAAGAAACAGACATCAGCCTCTCTGGTGGCACAGCAGGTTAAGCACAGCGCTGTGAAGCTGTCCCCAGCCTCTGCAGTACTGGTTACTGGGCCAGGGAGATTCCCACATGGCGCTGCAGACCTCTCCTGTCCCACTACCTGCTCCCCTCAGCAGTGCTTTCAGACTGTCTGCCTGTTCTGCTCCCCACTCTGTCTCTGTGAAGCCTCTCACCCTCCTGTGCCTCTGGCCTGTACCCCAGCTATTGTATAAATGATTTTTAAAAATCTTTAAAAAAAAAAAAAAGAAACAATCATTTTGAGGAAAGTATCTGCTAATTAACCAAATTCAAAAGACCTTAGTTTTTGTCATTCATCCCTCAGGTAAGATTGGTGCTGCCAACAAATAAAGAGTCTAATTCATCTCATACAAATATTTTCCTCTGGACTCAGGGCTTGGGGATGCCGCAGAAGTGCTCCGTGTGTCCTTCCAGGTCAGCACACCAGATATTTTAAAATGTGGATTTGAGGATGACCCAATAATGAAGATAACTTTTAATGCTTTTCCCAGGACATTTTCAAGTGAAACTGGCTTTGATTTTTGTTCCTGCAGGTAAGTGCTGGTGAAGAATCACTACTTCTGCAGTGGTGCTATAAGCTCCACTCTTACTAAATTTTACCTCAGCAAATGCCAAATAGCGAAAAGACAAATGGTATCTAAGTGATGTTTTGAACATAGTTTTACCTCATGGACCCCATGAAAGGTTCTGGGTGACTTAAGGGCTCCACAGACCACACTTTAACAAATGCTTTTCCCAGTGAACCAGGGAGCATCTCCCAAGTGTTCTCTGCCTTTGCCTCCTCTTCACTTCCCAGCATCCCTCTCCCTGGCTGGCTCCTCTCTCCCAAGCTGCCTCCCCTGCAGATACAATGGGGAGCAGAGAGAGGCCCCTGCAGACATGGAGCTTGCGCTGTCAGGAGAGATGGACACTGAGTAAAGGTGACAAAGACACGTGTAAACCTGACCTGAGACCCGTGCTGGGAGGAAGGAGCGGGTTTGTTGTGAAAGCAGAGAAGCAGGAGCCCTAACTCTATTATCAATAGTATCAAGAGCTGAAAAAAATATATTAAAAACAAATTAGGCATAATTTGATTTTTTATCTTCCTGCCCCTGACACACGTGCGCTGGCCCCATAGACCAGCCTGTCCCCTCTTCCCTCAGCCCCCCTCCATGTCCTGCCCTAGGACACAATCATATTGAAAAGGCCTGTAGCCTGGCCCCGTCCTCACCCTCATTTTCTCTTCCCTCATTTATTACGTGCTGAAGGACAGGCCTCCCCAAATTTTCAGAAAGGTGTCCCCAAGACAGGCCGCTTTGGCCTTTGAATTATTTCCATCTGAGGGTCATCAGGGGTTCATCTTAAGAAACGTTTATACTTCTATAACTACCTGGTATGAAAATGGGTGGTCTTACCCAAAATTAGGGTTATTACCAGAAACGAACTTTGTATCCTAGAAACCTACATATATGTCAGGGCAAACATAATCATAGAACATCCGGTCTTCGTCATATGAGCCACCCTTTCCTTGCCATGTGACCCCCTCCTCTCTCCTGGGGCCCCATGTCCCATCATACTCCTTAGCTCAGGAGACACATCCCCATTTCCTGCACAGATTTCAAACACTCATTGAGAGGTAGATTCCCAATGCATATATAGGGAAAGTTGGTTATATTCTAGCACTAAAAAAAAGGAAAAAGAAAACAAAGATGTTATAAAATTTCATGTGCTCAGAATAAGAGATCTTGAAAATTAGAGATTTAATCACAGAAATGAATAAATGAGTAGATGAACTGGAATATTAAAGTCTCACTCCCACTAAATAATGTGAATGGAAAAGAAATGACAAGCAGCGAGAAGACCTATAAGAAACTGAGTCTATCAACCAGGAGATTCCAACAAGTTAATAAGACAAGTGTCTAAAAGAATGGAGAGTGAAAATGATGGAAAAAATTCAAGAAAATCCCTGAGCACTCACAGATAAAATGTGCACGCTGAGTGTCCTACCCGGGTTCCTCCTACACAGGATGAGCAGCCCCACACCATGACCTGCCCCAGGGACTTTCAGAAAGAGGCTGAAGAAGGACAGACCTTGGGACCCTCAAGAGACAACTCAGGCCTGGAGGCCAGAAGGTCCTAAGCCAGGCCTGCCCAGTCCTCAGGGGAATCCAGCCCAGACTCATGTCAGGCCCAGGTGAGGGAGGCGCTCGGGGCACAGACATTCGATCAGCTGTTCATGGTCTCAGGGGTGACTTTCCACGTCCCTCCTCTAGTGAGCAAAGGACACTAGTGGGCAAAGGGGAGACAAAGATGAAGGACACAGAGAACAGGACATGGGAAAATCAACCACAGGGGAGCGGGAACAGGAGAGAGGCCATGGGTGAGGTGAGAGATTCGGGCCTTCAGCCTTGCCCAGGTGAGAAGGACCCAGGCCCCGTGAGCAGGACTGAGGCTGTGGGACAGGGGTCTGCCCAGGAGGAAGCGGGCAGAATAGCTGGTGTCTGTGATATGTCCATGGAGATTCTGACCCTAGGGTGGTCTTGGGGGTGATTAGGAATGAGCACAACAGGAACTAAGCTAGTAAGGGAACAAGATAATTATAACTCCAGGGCCAGTAAAAAAAAAATCAATCCAAGAAAGAAAAGCATCCTGGTCTACTCACTGCTAAGCTGTTACTGGCTCTCACGAGGTCATAACAATGCAAACTCTGGATCCTGGGGTGTATCTCAACAACCTGCCAGAGGGGCCGCCAGCAACAATGCCTGAGCTGTGGATCTCAAGGATCACCTTGAGGCCTCCTTGCCACTTAGAGCCAGCTCTCACAGCATGGGCAAGAGGCCTGAGTTGTGTGGGCAGGGACTTCCCAAGATGCTTGCTGAAAACTTCAATGTGAAGGAGCAGAGAGCAGGGCAACATCAGGGGCCCTAGAAAGGCTGCCAGGAAGGCAGTGACAAGCCTCCCTGGGGAGGAGGCTGCAGCTATTCACCCAAGAGCTAAAGCACAAAGAAGGAAGCAAGTCACCAGGACCTTCAGAACATGCCCCCATGCTCTATGGTGCCCAGGCCCTGACACAGGAGACAACTTTTCTGAAAGAAGACGTGATTCTGTTCAAGGAGCACATTAAAAAATTCTAACAGGACACATCTCAATCGATGCAGGTGTCGGTAGAGATGGACCAGGCCAAGTCCAGAGAGCAGCTGCTGCAGAACCTCCTAGAAGCAGACCCGTGAGCATGTTGGGAGCTGACATTGAGAAGACACTGAAAACTCAGACAGAGGTGAGATTTCTGCCGGGCTGACAGCCTCGCGGAACAGATTAGTGATGGTCTCCATCCTCCAGGCTACTAAGAAAAATGGGTGCCTCAAAGGCTTTGAAGGACAGGCTGGAGGCCTTGCCCTGCCCCCAGAGTGTGGGCACATTCACCCCTCAGTCTGTGGTATTTTATGAACATTTTCAAGCACACAGAATAATTGAAATAATAGTGCAAAGCACACCACCTAGATCCCAGCATTTGCTTTATCACTCATCTAAAGTTTATCTACGATCCATCTCTCTATTCATCCATCTTATTTTTCTGATGCATTTCAAAGTTAGTTGCAAATGTCAGTACCCATCTTTCTTTTATTTTTTTAAAGATTTGTTTTATTTATTTATGTATACAAGAGCTGGGGTGCAGGCCAGAGGTGTGTGGGTGAGAGGATTCAGCAGAGACAGAGTAGGGAGCAGAACAAGTGGATCTACCAAAATACACTGCTAAGGGGAGCAGCGGGCGAAACAGGAGAGGTCTGCTGTGCCATGTGGTCAGCCTGGCCTAGGTTGCATCTCTTACCACAATGGCTGTCAATAGCTTCACAGTGCTGAGACTTAACCCCTTATGTTACTAGGGACTCCCCACATTTTATTTTCAACACTTGGGATAAGAATATTTTTTTGAGGGCTTCCCCGGTGGCACAATGGTTTGAGCACCGAGCTGTGAAGCTGTCTGCAGCCTCTGCAGCACAATTTCAATTCCCAGCCAGCCAGGGAGAAACCTATATGGTATGGCGGACCTCTCCTACCTTGCCCACTGCTCCCCTCAGCAGTGTCTTAGGTCCATTTGCCTGTTCTGCTCCCTGCTCAGTCTCTGGTGAATTCTCTCACCTCCTAGGACCCCAGTTCTTGTATAAATAAATAAAATCTTTAAAAAAAAAAAAGAATATTTTTGAGATAAAACTCTATCTGGAGAAATGCACAAATCTAAAGTACACACTGGAGGAGCTGTGACCCTTGTCAAGAACATTATGTATATTGTTCTTTTCTTCTCTTGGAAACAATAAACATTTATATAATTTAATGATGTGTCTCACTTAACA